TTGCTGGTCACGAAAAAAGACAAAAAGGAAAAAAAAATGCACTTGATATACTGTTACCTTTATACTCCCATATTTCAAAAGCTGCAGTTAAGTTGATGAATGCCTTACAATTGATGACATCCAAGAATTGAGAAAATGTCCTTTATTTTCTGATAAAACACTCATATTTTGGAATAACATTTACTGTGACATTGGTAGCAGCAATTGCTGAATTCAAGAAAGATATGTAAAAGAGACAACTACCTTGGACACTAAAGCCGAGAACTTAAATCTAGAAAGTGATATCAAGCTTCACTAAAACTGTTGTCACATCAGATAAGGAAAAACACTCTGGAGGTATCAAGGTGGTCAGGTAGGGTATGTTAAAAAAATAAAAGGCAAACAGATTTTTCTTTGAAATGTACTTAAAGTGTCTAGATACTTTTATTTAACTTGGAAATAAAAGTAAAATTCAAATAAAATAAACTTGCTAGTTGGGCCGGCCCCGTGGCTCACTAGGGAGAGTGCAGTGCTGGTAGCGCTGAGGCCGTGGGTTCGGATCCTATGTAGGGATGGCCGGTGCTCTCACTGGCTGAGTATGGTGCAGACCACACCGAGCCGAGGGTTGCGATCCCCTTACCGGTCAAAAAAAAAAAAAAACTTGCTAGTTTTTGCATTTCACAAATCAATACATTGTCCACTAATTTCAGTTAACTTTTACCCCAGACAAATCACACTCAATAAGATAGCAAATTAGTATCTTCCATAGCATATTGAAGAAAACAACAAAATGCATCTGGTGGTCTAATCGAAGAATAAACTATGGAATACTCTAGGGCCTAAATATCTTTTTCAATTGGATAAAGATCAAAAGAGGGCCTGGGAAACTGTTTAACTTTGAAGCATCTAAAAGGTTTATCTTGAGTCCACAACCACCTTCTGTGGACTGACTCTAAGCCACATGTTGTAATGACTCTTGGAAACAAGGGAGGGGGAGGGCAGCCAGGATAGAAGATGGTTAAGGCAAGGTGTAAACTAAAGTTGCCCTAATAGACATAGGATAAAGTTGCTTTCTTAACCATAAAGTCATCTGATGGATCAGATTAAAAAAGAAACATACATATCCACACACACCACATTGCCCTCAAAAAAGTAAATAATCTTCAATTTAGCATGACTTGTAGCTAATTGATCGAAGGTATTAAGTTGTCTAGACAGAGGATGGTATTTAGTGTCTGACAGGCATAATTTTACACTTTGATTCTAATGTTGATCAAGGGGAAGGAGCTTTCCCAATGAACTTAAGCATTTTAGCTCTTTTGGGTAAACATTTCTTATAGAGGGGGAAAATAGTTAAGCTACATATGGTAAGGTATTCCTCCCACTGTCAGCTAGAGAATTTGGGATAAATTAATTAATTTGCTAATGAGAATTAGCAATGTTTATCTTTAAAAAATAATTTACATTCAGGATTACATGTCAAACTTCTATGAGTTTGGGTGGTAACAACAACAACAACAACAACAACAACAACAACAACAATAATAATAATAATAATAATACATCAGGATGCTTTTGATTGTGAACAATAAAAAGCCCAATTCAAAATAAAGAGATAAATTTATTTTAAAAATAAAGTATAACTTGTTACTTTGTATAACAGGAAGTTCCAGACTAACATGGCTCCAGGGTTGTTAGGCCCACAGAAGGCCTACCCAATTCTTTCTTTCCAATCTGCTATTCTCACTTTGTTGCTAAAACTTCTAATGGCTGCAAGATGGCTGCAGGTGGTCCTGTCATTATATCCTCACATACCAATGCTCAGAGGTGCATAAGGCACCTGCATGCACATGTGCACATGCATGCACACACACACACACACACACACACACACACACACACTCTTCAGAGGACTACTTCCCTTTGTCTCTTTTTAAAACCTGAAAAATCTTTCTCTACACATGTCTCCTCCAATGTCATGGGTCAGATTGGATGACATGGATGCCACGGAAGCCAAGGGGAATAGAATTAACATATTAGCTTGGAATAATTTATATTCAATTCTTAAGGCTGGGAATACAGCCAGCCACTCGGCTGGTTGAGGAGCTTTATCCAATAATAAGTCTAAGTGATAGGATCTAAGTCTTGCTCATATAGGCCTACTGTAAATCTCAAAAGTTACTTCACCATGGGACATAGACTATTAGAAGGAACTCTAAGACACCTCTTGAATTCCACCATTATCCTTCCTTCTCTTCTTCACTGTGTAGTAATGACTATTTCCCTCTGGTAACTGGGCTTAATCACTTCGACTATAGCATAACTACCTCCCTTCATACTTTTTTTTTTCCTTTTTGTCTGTTTGCTTAGTGGTAGGGGGATCTAAAATGGCAAGAAGGTAGTGCTAGCTACCAATTCAAATTGTTGTGCCTCTGGTATCAATATTCCTCCTTTGGGGACTGAGGCTCTATCCCAGCAGAGACCAGAAATAAGGAAGGTAGAATCAAACATTTTACAGGTGGATCACTAGTTAAAACAGTGTTACAGGTGCCTGAATGCCTTTCCAAAGGCCACTTCCCTCTTTTCATTGCTTCTACCATCTTAGTTGCTGAATCTTAAGTCTAAGCAAATCCTTTCTATTCTATTCTCTATTGGTCTAGTGGTGTTCATGTAATTTAATTCTCTTCAATAAGAAATGAGCAGAACTATACTGAAGGTTTCTGAAAAGATTTGTTTTCCCTAAAAATTAAGATGAATGTGAGGAGAGAGCTTCCTTTTCCTCCCCTCCTCCTTTGTGCTGGGACACTGTCATGTGACAAGGTGATATTTTGTGCTGTGATAGCCATCTCTCTAACAAGAGAGGGCAAAATGTTAACACTGAGGGTCCACGGTAAGATCATTACATCACTGAAATAACTCCGGAATACCCACTCTTTTGATGTAGACAAATGTATATGATTTAAGTCACTATTAGTTTAGGCTCTCTGTTCCTTGCAGCCAAAAACATCCTAGATGACACACATAGGGACAAATGGGTACTGCAAGGAGCAGATCACAAAATGTGAAACTGGCTGTGAAGGGCACCGATAACTCAATTACTCCTAAATAGATTTCAATTCACATCCTAGCCAAGAATTAGTAATTTGAGTCTACCTTTCTCTTTCTTTATGCTATCAGGCATTGTCTGAAGTATACATATCTTCCTGTCAACCAAGCTCATACTCTACTACCTATAACACAAGTTTATTCCTGAAAGATTGATAAAGTAAAATTTCTAGAGCTATAGAACTAAGGATAAAACCTTGAAAGGAAGTACATTTTCCAGACTAAAATGCATTTTAGTAGCCTGTCATCCTTCTCTGGGAATATCCTTGTGTTGAAGGAGAAATTAAGATTTAATAGAGTTAGTGCAGTGAATGAGATACCAAGGATATAACTATGAATGGTCTATTAGTTCCAAATTATCTGACACAGATATTTATATCAATGTGTAAAGGCAATTATTTGAATTCAATGTTTCTTTCAGGTTTATTGTCCTACCCATATCTTACAAACATTTTCTCTAACAAATTAGATGGCAATCCAAATACAGAACATGGAAAAATCAGACTGTCAAGACTCAACTCTCAGGTTTTCTTTTTTTTTTTTTTTTCATAGTAAGCACTATCAGACCAAAGGAAAGAAAAAATAATTATATAGAAAGAGAGAGGATTATATCAGATAGCTGGAGGTGAACAATAGGGTCTTTCAATCATTGTAACATATTTATTTACACACAGTAAAATTGCAGATAATCTATACTAGTATATCTCAAAGTATGTTCCCTGGAATGTCCCTTTATTCCCCTTCACACCCCCCACCCCAAAAGGACACTATGTGAAACAAGTTTGGATAACACTGCATACAACATTCCGTCTTAGATACTCACAATGTGTGCATCGATGTATTAAAGGCCTTGAAAAGTTATGCTGTATATAAGCCAACTAATTATAACCTATCATGTTCAAATTTATTAGACTTGGGAAATCCTTTTTAACAATGGATTCCCAAAAAATACATTTGGGAAATGCTTGTTTGTACATTCTGATAATAACAATCATGGTTGTCTATCCCAAGGAATAAAAGTTAAAGTTATTTTTCACCTCTGTTATTGTGCATGAAGTAATGATAATGACTATTTTGTTGCCGTATATTGGAGAAGAAAAGTCAATAAGATTTAATATCTGAGATACTATTCATAAGAACTGAGTATAAACTCTTGATATCCTTTCTGTAACAGAGAAATCCTACAAATTTCCTGTTTATACTTTAGGTAGTCCAACAACAAAAAATATGTTATCTTGAAAATACCTTGTATATTCATTTTCATCTAAAACATGTGTATAGGTCAAATTTAAAATATTTTTCTTTATAGATTCTAAGATCAATCTAGTAAAATGCATAAAATTGTAGGCATGTGGGTCTTTCTGTACAAATATAGGAGAAACATGCTTACATAGTTAAAAAAGAAAAAGTTTTTTTTTTTTTTTACCAGACCCCAATGAGGATATTAAAAAAACAAAACAAAACAGAAAAACCCAACTGTTTATAAACACATTTACAAAGCAAAAATAAACCTATAATATATTAAAGTTAAAACATGTTCTCTACTAATTTTTCAGATTTTAAAAATAACTGTCAAGAAAATGTTTTAATTCTAATGGAGCACAAAGAATATAGCTTACTGGTTGGTAAGTAAAGTTACTTTATTATAATACTGATAGTGGAATAAAATCGATACACTCAACTTGAACATGCAGGGGAAATACAAATTAATGTAAACAGATGATTTTCAGCACATTCTTTCACTAGAATGTGATCACCTGCCACGAAGTACACAAGCTCATGCACAAGATCAAGACGTTACAATACAGCTGAGATCACAATGTCATGCATGTAACAACAGCGTGCTAGATAATCATACCACAAACTGTGCAGATGTTCTCCCCCACCCCATGAGCCACTGCCAGCAGTTGCTGTGGAGTTTGGTTACCCATATCCGTGACATGAACGGTGTCCTTTGGAGAATCTTGTTCCCTGTGGCTGTAAGTATTCTTATTTTTATAATATTTAATGATGCTTGTTATCAAAATGTTAAGTACAAAACTAGAAATTATGAAAAAATAGACTTTTTACAATACTGAACAATTATATATATCTTATCTCAGGCACTTACAATAAACAACACTTACATTTATACATACTATCGAAACAAATTTTCTGCTCAGAGTTAAACAAACCCAAGATAATGTCTGACGACAGTGTTCCAGTGAGTGGGGGGGAAAAAAAAATCAATCTCCAACAAGTACTTCTTGATTTCTAGCACTCAAAAAGCTTGGCAAGAGTCATTCTCATAGCCTGGCTAAAGTATGACTAATACAGATAAGTCCTAGATAAGAACATCTATTATGATAACACAATTATATGATCTCAATTTTGAAGACTTGACTTGGCAAACATTATTTAAATTAGTCAATGAAAGAAAGTACAGAATAAAGTCTTTAAAATACTTCCCTTCATTTCTCTGAACCTTGTAAGTGTATTTCAACATCCTTTTTTGCCTATTTATATTCTAAGTACATTCTGGTAACGATAATTCTATTTTGCTATTAGGCAACACCTGCTAAATTACTAATGTTCATAAAAGTGTAGAATCAGAATTCTGGAACCACAAGACAATTTGAGTGGTTCAGCTTTATGACTCTTGGCAGCACTATATGGCTTTTTAGAACGTGAATTCAATACTTCTGTATTACTCCAGAATACCTTTAAATCAGGCCAGGGAGTAAAGAAAAAGAAAATACAGCCAACTCTCAATAACATAGAAGATAGGATGGATAAGTAAAATCTAAAGATCTAAAAATCTTACATTAATTCATAACTTCAGCACCCTTTTTTAGCAAACATTTGGCTTAAAAATCTAAAAAAAATTTGTCGGATACAAAAAGGACTTGAATTTCACCTCTATTCTCTGCCTCCTCCTAACACTCTAGAGGAGGTATTAACAAGAACTGTATAGACTGATATACGTAACTGCAAAAATAGAAACATATTTTTACATCTCCAGTTTACATATTTAAAACTATCTATATCATATTCTAGTATATGAGGACCTACATATATTTTCACCTTTGCATTTGTCTTTATAATTTGTTTAAAAATTGGTACTCCTTTGGCAAGGAATGACTACTTACCATAATCAATATCAGCAGTTACATCCAACTTTTCTGACTTTATAACAATCTACAATTTAGTACTTACCAAGTTACATTTCCTTAGAATGTAACATTTGCAAATGACATGAATTCATGATGACAGTTTTACTCTACATCAATATAATTCATGACTGAAGCCAGTATGCCTTGATAAATTGGGCATAATAAGACTGGGCTTTACAACATCTTCCTCTTCTGATTCTTATGAATTTAAAGTAAAGCACTGTACTATTCTGCCTCAGTTCTTCTCCAGTAATCATCATTCAATTATCTCAAAAGACTGATGCAAAATATATATCTTACTATAAAGATCATCATATGAACTGTTTTAATTATCAACAAGTAATACCTAATTCTGATAAAGAACTAAGAATAATGAAGTCTCCGAAACCATGCCATTCTTGGAATACATAAATGTAGTAAAATCTCTTGTACAGAGCAGTATGCCACAGTACAAGATGAAACAGGTGACATGCATACATTGCTATATGCTTACAAAGAAGATAACTTGGATTTGAACTAAAATAAAATAAAAACAAGTGTATTTTATGATAAAAGGCATCAGAAAAAACTTTCAATAAAGGGACAAGTAACAAAACCTAAATTTATGATAGTTTATCCATTCATTTGCCTTTCTAAAGAATGGTCATTAGATTCTAAAAAGCAATATTAAATTGGTTTCAAACGTATAATTTGAACTTTAACTTCTTATATATCATTCTACTTTCATTAAAAGTATCAGTTTTTTTTTTTTTTTTAAAAGATGACCGGTAAGGGGATCTTAACCCTTGACTTGGTGTTGTCAGCACCACGCTCAGCCAGTGAGCGAACCGACCATCCCTATGTGGGATCCGAACCCGGGGCCTTGGTGTTATCAGCACCACACTCTCCCGAGTGAGCCACGGGCCGGCCCAAAAGTATCAGTTTTTTATTCATTGAAAATAAAACCTCCTTAAACAGTGGTGAAGGAAAGACTACAAATACCTGAATTTAAATATTATACCATGCTTTATAATATATACACTTTGTTATATTTGTGGGGAAAAGACTTAACTGATATGCAGTATGTGTATCAGTAAACCTTAGCAATGGTGTTTTATTTTATTTTCTATTTATGTACCAAAAAATTAACAAAGAAAGAAACCATGCATAAGAAGTAAAAATCAATTTATTTAAAAAATATCATTGGTATAACTATATGCCTGTGTGTGAAATCAGTATTTCTGTTTAAGATTCAAATATTTTACATGGGAGAAACATCTCCCTAATTATAAAAGAAGCTGAGATAATTTTAGAAAATATTTGGCTGCTTGATTTAAAAAGTCTTCAATACCTCTACAACAAATGAAAAAAGTTGGTTTTTGAAAATTAAAATAATTCAGCCAGTTAAATTTTTCCACAGAAAATAATACACCCAGAAGCAGTAGTTCTGAGTATTGTATAATTTCCACTCAGATTTCTAAGAATACGTCTAATAGATAATTAAACATTTCTGAAAATCTGAACTTTTCCAGTATATATTAAAATGAGAATAGGAAAGAAAAATCAGTGAAAGAATTGTCTCACATTTTGATCAATTTAGATATCATATTAAAAAAGAATTAAATAATTAATACAAAATTATTCAATTTTATAATAGAATCTATAAGTGGTTTGTTTTTTTTGTGTTTTTTTGTTGATCTGGGCTGGTTGGTACAGGGATCGAATCTTGGATGTTAGTGTTATCAACATCACACTCTTATCAACTGGGATAGTGGCTATCCCAGGAGTTTCTTTGTCAGCAAGGAATTATATTGTTAAAGGCATTATTTAAAGACAACATTTTGATATGTCAGAACCTACAATGATGTCTCTGTGATTATCTCTGATAATAGCAGCACACCTACTAAATAAAAACAATAAATAGGAAGAAAATGCTGCAGTTAAAATCTGATGAACATATTCTATGCTCTCATCATATTTTGTCCTCTTCACTTATAATGTACTAATATCTCAATCAGGTCACTAGAGGACTGCGTATATATCTCGGATGCTGCCATACAAAGTGAGTAGGTAGATTATAATGTGACATGGTAAGGTAAATAAAAATGACTATGTCTTAGAGCAATAACATACTGGGCTTCTTAGTAATTGAAAAGGTACATTCAACGACTTGTTTTTCCTGCAAGTTTATCATATTGGAAAGCTGCAGCAAGATAGTAATAAAGTTCACCTGATACAAATACTCAAGTTCCTCACTTACCTCATCTGGGTTGGCATTAAAGGTGAGGCTGCCTTCATCCAGCTGCATATACAATTTTCTAAAGGAAAATCCTAGAGGTGGGCTCTTATTGTAAATGGAACAGTGACCCCAAGTGGATTTGCACAACCTGTAAAAATAAGAGAAAATGAGACAAGAAAACATTAGTATACTTAATTTCCTCGGTTAAACATGAATACACATGATAAAATAGTAACACTGAAATGATATAAGATTGGGTTTTGGAGCTCTAATGTTTAAATATTTAATTTTATACTTGTTGTTTATTTACTAGAGTATGATAGATGCCTTAAATTTAGCAATTTTGATAGCACCTAATAAACGTGAGTGACAAAGATTAATAATATTCATGAGTAATATCTTAAGTTAAACAAACTATTAATAACAGTAATAATAGCTAACAGTTACTGGGTTCTTACTAGATGTCAGGCACTATTTTAAGTATTTTAACTATATTAACTTGCTTAATCTTTCTAGGATATTGGTGCTACAGATAAGAAAAACAGAGATGAAAAAGTTGCCCAAGATCCCACAGCTAATATATGTAGAGGCAGGATTTGAACCAATGAATCATACTCCAGAGCTTGCAATCTTAACCAAGAAGCCAAGCAGAATCTATTAAGTAACCTAAATGTGTTTTATTGTGAAAAAAATCTAAGTGGGGGGGTCAACCTTTTGCTTTTTTGACAATACATATATTAATAACAGATAAACATAGAAACTGTAATACCACACAACATCAATACATACATCAAAAGCTGTGACGTTAAACATAGCTATTTGAAGATACTATTTCAAAAACACTGGTTCTTTACTTGTTTTTGTTTCACAGTGTTGGACATGCTTTGTGATTTGTCATCACAGTTATACACGAATATTTAAAAGTTCTATAAAACCTAAAATACTAACAGTTTATATTTCAAAACACTATTTTCTGCAGATTGGGATAGTTGTTTCGATTTCTGGACAGAGGCAATAGCTACTGGTTATTATTTAAAAGCTTAAGTTATACTGCCTGGAAATTCTGGATTTGTACCTAAGAGCCTTAAAAATAAGTGCATTACCCTAGAGATGCAGAGAATACTGAAATTATATTTCGAAACATTTTAATAAGTCTTTGCCTAAAAATTGTGATTTTTTTTTGTATGTCCAAAAACACCTGCTACTTGTTGAGACAAAGTAGTTTCACTTTCTGATATTTATTATTGATTTTTGCTTCAAACTTCCTTCTTTTCACGTACATACAAAGTACAGGAAAATAAGAAGTTATTGTCTCAGACTATAACATCAAAAATTGTGAGGATAAGTGGGTAAAATCTAATTTAACACAAAACTAACCTAGTTAATTTATACCCTTGCATTATTTTTACCAACCAAATGAAATTATTGATTTTAAAATTGTAAATATAATAAATTATTTAGAAAATTATCAATATTTTAAGTCTCTTTAATTTAGTTCCATAGCTTTCGAGTTTTATTACTAAGCCATATGAAAGCAACAGAACCTCCCAATATCAATAAGTATTCAACATATCCAAAGTTAAAATAAAAATTAAGCCAGGCTTTAATTTCAAATAGAAGAAATTTATCATTAAGAAAAAAAAAAAAAAAATCCGGGCCGGCCTGGTGGCGCACTGCTACAGTGTGCCGCTTGGGAAGCGTGGCGGCGTTCCCGCCAAGGGTTCGGATCCCACATTCAGACCGGCCACTCACTGGCTGAGCGAGGAGCGGGGGCAACACCGAGGGTTGCGATCCCGTTGCCGGTCCCGGTCCGGTACGGGCGCGACACTGAGGGTTGCGATCCGTTGCCGGTCACGAAAAAAGACAAAAAGACAAAAAAAAAAAAAGAAAAAAAAAATCCAAGTGTCATAAAAATAGGAAAAATTATATGGCATACAATAAAGGAAGCATTTCTTTCAGTGATGAACAATCAAGATTTAAACCCCAAATGAATACATTCCTATTGAATTCAGATAAGCTTAAAAATAAATTTTAGGATGTTCAAATAAGGCACAAATTAATTTTGTGGGAAATACTAAAATGTAGAAAAGAGATCATAAAGAATAACCTGGTTTTAAAATGTTTTCATTTCCTTCTTACATTTCATGTAAGTATACGCTTACATAATGATTAAAAAATTAATAACTGTTATTTATTTTAAACATTACTAATAAATAGAATTTCCTTTTATTTACACAGTATTTCCACTATAAAAAGGCAATAAAAGAATAACAAGATAATATTGATGATTTTTATCTATTTAGAGGTTAAATCATTATCTATTTAGAGTATATGACCTATATGATTATATGACCTATATGACCTATATGATTTATACTAAAGTATAATCCTGTGACATCAGGAAGCCTAAGTTAGTAATGCCATTACTGAAAATACATTTTTACTAAATTTTGCCAATTTAGATTAATTTATTAATTCTTTCCATTAGATTTCCAGTTAGAAATTATTTAACGTCTTAAGACTTTTGTTTCCATATGAAGTCTAATTTTAAAATAATGAGAATGAAATAAACTTTCATAAAGGAAGCTAATAAATCTGAGATCTAATGATTCTTCTATGTTTGGTAACATCTTCAGGACTCGAAAAAAAAAAAAACCATGTACCTATAATTTTTAAGTATATGATGCTATTTACAGAATAACTTAGATTCAATAAAACATTCTATTCCCCCAAATGTTCTTAGATTGGTAGTTTAAATTTAAACTGGTCTATTACCTGCTAAAATTGCTAGAACCTACTTTAAATACCGCAAGTAGATTATTTATCACCTTGCTTTCTAATATTTACCTACTTAATGGACGAAAATTTTCACCAGTTAGTTTATGCTAACAAGCCCCTTCGATAAAAATAAATATATAAATAAGTCAAAACACACACACATACTCCATTTGCAACCAATGAAGAGTAACACTTGAGGACCACTTACTGATTTTTAAATATGCCTGTTCTTCAGTTGGGATACCCGATGGGGAACACAAACTACACAAGGGATGTGAACACTCCAAGTTTTGGGTAATTTCTCACTTTATAATTTTGTTGTAATTTTAGAATAAACTGACAATTTCTGATTTATAATAAACAGACTCATCTCAATTAGGAATCTCTCTTCTAATTGTAAAGTCATTATTCTATTTTCTTTTCTACTATCTTATTTCCTCAGTATTGAATTTGACTGTGATGATAACTGTATCCCAGTTAAAAAGAAATATTTCGTAATACATATATATTATAAAAAGAACATTTCATCATGATTATGTTTAGAGATACCTGAATCATATGCTGGTGGGCTTAACTTACCCTTGCCAGAGAAGTTCATCATTAGCGAGGTCCTGCCAAACACATGAAGCCAAGCAGAGGTCAGTTGCATTCAGGTAGGACAAGATGGTAAAGCTTAGCTCAGGAGGCAACATCTCCAAATTAATGAATCCTTCCTGTTCTTTAGATTTCCTTGCCTTCAAAAGATGATATATGTCAATGCCTCCTTGGACTTGTTTGCGATGATTGGTGTTAGAAATGTTGCTCATAGCCATTCTCCTGCTCTGCTCTCTGGTGAGGTAGCCTTGCTCACTATAGCCTTCCTGTTGTAGCTGCTGGTTTCTGGCCACTCTCCACAGCCCCTGACCCATCTGCAAGGCTGGGAGAAAGCCAGAATATAATAAGGGTGACATTTAAAAAATAACCCACTTTCTCCCAGTGGTATAACAAATTTAACATGAAGCATTCATTTAGCAGAATTAAGATTCCTCATTAAAGTCTATTAAAACCAGTAGTACATTACAAAGAACAATTGGAACATTCTAAGTGCAAAATTTGGATAAAGAAAGTTTAAGACATATTTGGTTTGATCATCACCTTTATCTCAGTTTGCTAACTACTTTTAAAGTCCACAGGTGACATAATCATTTTTCACATGGTAAGATTTAAAAGTTACTGATGTCCTAAAGACTGTTACAAATTATAATTATGTGGACTTATGGCCCAGTATTAAATACAGCTCTGATCAGAGCACAGGACTTCAGTTAAAAGGCCTCCAGACCCTGCTTTTTATCACAATTCAGGCTAGGCTAAGCTAGCCCCTTTTAACCAAACTCCCAGATGCATAACAGCTGTGAAACAGACTTTTAGTTTAATTCTTGCCAGTCTACACTTACATTGTAGGCTATAATAAAATGTAACATAGGCCCTGAAGTCTAATTCAGAAACCTTATAAATTACACACCTAGAAGTCTATGATAAATAACTCAGGAACAGCTATTTGGTTTTGTTGTTGCTTTAAACTAAAAATAATTTAGACTAATTTTCTAATTCTTTTCCAGATACTTCAGAGGTACCTGGGAAAAGGCATGAGAAGAAGATGTGTTCCAGTCTCCTCCACCTCCATTTGACCTCCAACTAGAGCAGCTCTACATTTATCTGTTACATAAATTGGGCTTTCCTATATTCAAATATTTAGAAAATGACTGGCCTAGACTTCTTATTTGGCTTACCTTTAAAATAAGTAGTTTTTCCTGAGTAAATAAATTGACCGAGTTGAAACTAAATCAGGAATAGCTTTTAACTAATACAAATTATTATTTTCATGATCTTTTTTTCAAATAAAATATTCTTGTTTTATCAACCCCAGTTGACTAATAAACACCTGTATGTGTTTTAAAAATTTGGAAAAAAATACTTTCACTAAATAATCATTAAAATAGTCAAATAACTTTCACAGCATGACCTGAACTTAAAATATAATTTTGTTTTAATTAGCTATTTACAAGGACTAACAAAAACAAAAGCAAAAAACCAGAAAAATGACCAAAAAATTTGAAGATTATTAGGAATAATTTGAAAGTAGAACTTCGAAGAATGTCAAAGATTTTTTTAAAAAAAATATATATATATTTTTTTTGCTTTTTGTCTTTTTCCGTGTCCGGCAACGGATCGCAACCCTCAGTGTCGCCCCTGTACCGGACCGGGACCGGCAACAGGATCGCAATCCTCGGCGTTGCTCCTGCGCCTCACTCAGCCAGTGAGCGGGAACCGGTCCGCACGTGGGATCCGAACCCTCGGCGGGAGGGCCGCCGTGCTTCCCAAGCGGCGCACTATAGCAGTGCGCCACCGGGCCGGCCCTAAAAAAATATTTAAAAAGGCACGACCCATGTGTATATTTATTAAATTATTGGCTATGTTTGGATAATAGTAACTATATTATGTCATCTGAAGATCAAAAAAGATAAAATAGTCCAGGATAATTTTTAACTTCTTCTTCTCACATTGAATTGCTTGGAATCCCAGCAGCATAAGCTATAAAGGGATGGTGAGGAGGAGGAATACAAAGAAAAGGAATATATTAATGATTTTAAAATGTGGGAGAATTTGTTTTTGCAAAGGAAGCACAGAAGATAACCTTTCTTTCCCCACTACACATACCACAATAAAGGTATCAGTTCCTAAATAGTATTAAGCTATAAAAATTAAATTCTTAAAAAATATAGAATACTAAGACAATGAAAAGACAAGCCACAGACCAGGAGGAAATCTTAGCAAAACACAGAGATGACAAAGGAGCAGTATCCAAAATATACAAAGAACTCTTAAAACTCAATAATAAGAAAACAAACAACCACTTTAATAAACAGGCAAAAGATCTCAAATGACACTTCACCAAAGAAAATGTACAGATGGCAAATAAGCATATGAAAAGATGTTTAACATCATATTTCCTCAGGAAATTGCAAATTAAAACAATGGATCCTACTACACACCCATTAGAATTATATATCCAAAACACTGACAATACCAAATGTTGATGAGGACGTAGGAATGCAAAATAATACAGCCACTTTGTAAGACAGTTTGGCAGTTTTCTAAAAAACTAAACAAACTTTTACCATATGATCCACCATCAGCACTCCTTGATATTTACCTAAATAAGTTCAAAACTTATGTCCACAAAAAAACATGTACATGAATGTATATATAGCAACTTTAGTCATAGTTGCCAAAATTTATAAGCAACCAAGATGTACTTCAGTAGTTAAACGCATAAACAAACTGTTATATCCATATAATAGAATATTATTTAGCACAAGAATGAAATGAGCTATCAAGTCATCAAGACATGCAGGACCATTAAATGCATATTACTAAATGAAAGAAGCCAATCGGAAAAGGCTCCTTACTGTATGATTTCAATTATATGATATTCTAAAAAAGGCAAAACTAGAGACAGTAAAAATGATTAGCATATCAACAACAATTTGTAAGTAGTTTTAAATTTGAGTAATTTTTAAATGTGCCATGTCACATTACAACATAAGTACAATTTAATTTTGACAGAATGAATATTTTAAGACTCCCAATCATAAAGAATTGTATTTTACTTTGATCATGGGTAACCCCTCTGTTTAACTTAGCAAGAAAACACCTAGAAACTGTTTTTATTGCTGGGCTCATCTAACATACCTATTATCATTTCAAATAATTAAATTTATTCTTCTTTGTTACACCATTAATGGTAAATAATTAAAATGTGGTAACTATGGTGTCTGAAGTCTCAAGATTTAAGGCATTTCTTAATTTCTGTGTATTTCCCCTACAGCATCTTTCTAGGGGCATATGGTTAAGCAGCTGTTGTTACTCTGAAGGCTGTTGCTAGGGAACAAAGAATCAGGGTGATTTCCCCAGGCTCTGGACTTTAATGGGGATTACTTATATTGAGCACCAGATAATGTGATTCAGAAAGCATCCAACAGGTGAAAAGAGGTAAACCAGCAGATGGTTCTTAAAAAAAAAAAAAAAGATACGGAGGGTGGAGGGTTGAGACTCATGTATATACACTGTTCAGACAAAGAAAGGTGCAAGATTATACCTCATTTTCTATTCTCCTTCTGCTAAACAATACTGCAAATTGTCTCTTTGGGAATTCCTTTTCCCTTTAAAGCAGTTTTTTGATTCTGGGTAAAAACACAACATGATAAACCACTCTGAGGAAAATTAATATCATAAGTTTAGCATTTGGATAAAGAAAAGGGTGTCTATAGTTCTATCCCCACTCTCAATCTTCCTTAGGATAACAGGGATGTGGAATACGGGTGTAACTGCCAGAAAAGTGATAAAAAAAACCAAAAAGAAGTAACATCCACTGTATAAGTTGTGGAGCAAGTCACGGAGGGAGCACAGTGTTGTGGGCTTTGAACTCAGACAGACCTGAATTTGAATCTTGTCTTCATTTGTTATTACTAATAGTACCATGGGGAAGTTTCATGACTACTCTACACTTTACTTTCTTCTTATGTAATGTGGAATAATGATAATAATACTTCAACTGTCTTGTCCTGCTTGCTGAATTAGCCCATTTATGTTGATACTTGCACAGCTTTGTGGGGCTTATACATACAATTCTCTATCGCCTTTAGTTATCTCATATTTTGCCATTGTTATTTTTTTCTTGTAAATGAAATTCTTTTATATCAATGGTGAAACCAAAACAAACAAACAAACAAAAAAACAAACAAACCCCAAAACCATAAAAAACAAAATAGCCTGTATTATCTTCCACAAAAGATTTCAAAACTCAGTATGCCTGATGATAATGCCAATAGCAGTGTCATGAAACAGGTTCTTGTGTTATCATTAGTTATGAGTCAATACCTGGCTCTAAAAGAGATGTAAAATATGATATAGTTTCATGCTGGTTCTTGCATGATTTCAAATTCTTGAAAGCAGGTGTTTGGACTGAACCAATCAAAACTTTATTTCAAAGAGACACACATCAAACAAGGTTTTTTAAAATTAGTTTATGAAAATATTGCGATCAGAGTAGGAACTTAACCTGTATTTTTCCTAGGAACAATGGTTTGGTATTCACTAATTCAATATTTGTAGCCAACTTTATAGAACAACTACTGCAAATAACAAGAATCAACTGTATTTCTTTTATTTGTGTATGAAATAGGTTAATTATGCTCTTATAAGAGTACATATTTTTTCCAAGAAAGAAATTCAATTGAAAAAAAAAATTAAACACAAAACAAGGTTTTGTATTTGAAATTACTAGTTTTGGTGTAAATATGGATTTTGTGATGAAACGTCTGCTGATAATTTATTTGCTCACTCAAAATAGATGGAAGAAAATAGGTATTTCTCATTTTATGTGTTTCTGTTTATAGATACTTTATCTAACATATATTGTTAATTCATTAATATTGTAACTCAGGACCAAAAGCACTATAACACATACCTGAAGAAAGATTATCTGACACACCTATCTTCTCTCTAAAGCACATCACTTAGCAACACAAGGCAACACTTAAACCCTATGTTTACAGGCCATCTTATATGCCAAAATCACTAATAAAAATCACAAAAAATGTGAAAAACATGGCCCTATGAGCAGGCCACAAAAAGGACATTTGTTCACAATGAGAGCTAATACAGAAAGCAGAGCCTTGCCATGTTCAACCTTAGGTGGAAACATGTATTTTGAACAACTTAAATTTTTTGCATCTCTGTGCATGTTCACTAATGACTGCAAAAGAGCAAGTGGTATTGATTTGGGGGACACAAATAAATTTTAGTGAGTATGCAAATTCACAAACACAAAATCTACAAATAATGAGAACTGACTGTAAATTAATACCACTCAAGAT